TTGACCTCTGCAGCACTAGACACTGTCGTCAATACTGCCCACCTGGAAAATCTCACTTCTCCAGGTTTTTCGTCTCTCCTGGCCTTCCTCCTACCTATAGGATTGTTCCTTTTCGGTCTCTTTTGCTGGGTCATCATCTGTGTCCCTCCTTCTTTGTATAGATGTATCCCAGGACTCTATGAAATTAAAAGACACTTGCTCCTTGGACGGAAAGCTCTGGCAAATCTGGACCACGCATTAAAAAGCAGAGACATCACCTTGCTGACAAAGCGTTGTAGAGTAGAAGCTACGGTTTTCTAGTAGCAACGTATGGCTATGAGAGTTGGACTATAAGGAAAGCTGAACACCCACAGAATCGACACTTTCAAACTGTGGTGCTGCAGAAGACTTTTCAGAGCCCCTCGGAGAGCACAGAAGTCAAATCAATCAATATTTAAATAAATTAATTAACTGGAAGGCCAAATACTGAAACTGAAGCTTAAATACTCTGGCCACATAATGAGAAGATGGGATTCACTGGAAAAGACCTCGATGTTGGGAACGATTGAAGGCAACAGGAAAAGGGGACAGCAGAGGATGAGATGTATAGATGGCGTCGTGGAAGCAATGAACATGATCTTGGACAGACTTCGAGAGATGGTGAAGGATAGAAGGACCTGGTGTGCTGTGGTCCGTGGGATCACGAAGTCGGACACAACCGAACAACAACAATAACAAAGCCCCAGGACCCTTTCCTCGGCTCCCTCTCCCTCTCTCTCTCTGCAAACCTATCAGCTCCCATGGTTTTGATTGCTATCTCTATGCAGATAATTCTCAAATCAACGCGTCTAGCCCTTGTCTCTCTTCTGAGCTCCATCTACTATTACCAGCTGCCTTCGAGTCTTGCCTCCCAGGTGTCTGTCCCGTTAGCTTCTCATGTCCGAAACAGAGCCCGATCTCACTCCCCACAAATTCATGTGGATGTGGAGGGTAAGAGTATCCCTGATGTCATCCCCAAATCTTCAGTGCTCCTGAACCCTCCATGGTCAATCAATCGCCAAATCTTATTTCTATCTCCACAACTCAGTACAATTGAACACAGCCCTTCTATCTGCCCTGTCTTTTTCCTCAGCCAGTCCCCAGCCTCATTCAGACCTTCTCATGCAGGCTAATGTGGTACCCTTCAAATGGCTCCTCCTGGCTCCAGTCTCTCCTCTTCATTCCAGTCCTTGCTAGAATGTCGCCAAATTATATTCCTAAAACTCAGTTCTAACCACGTCACTGTTTCACTCAAAAAGCTCCAGAGACTCCCTGTCATCTCTAACATAAAACACAGAAGCCTCTGTTTGGCACCTAAAGCCCTTTCCAGCCTGGCTTTAATCTACCTTCTCAAACTGCTTCCCTATTACCCTATCTCCCCCATCCTCCACTCCAGCCAAACTGGTCGCTTGTTGTCCTTTGTATACCACCTTACAAACGCTGCTTCTGTGACTCTGAATACAGTATTCCCCAAGTCTTGAATGCACTCCCTCCTCCCCTCTGCCTCTTAGAAAACCATGGCTTATTTTAAAACTCATCTCAAGTGCTACCTACTGCATGAGCCCTTTCCAGATCTCCCCCGAGAGTCAGTGGTCTCCTCAAACCCTGAAATTATGTTGCAGATGTTTTGTGTTCATTTAAGAAAGGCAGGTGGCATGGTGGATGGAGAGCTCACCTCAGTCACAAAGACCTGAGTTCACACAGTGCCTGACACATACGACCTGTGTGACCCTGGGATAGTCACTTAACGTCTCATTACCCTAGGCAACTTTCTAAACTGAAGATATAGCATATGTTCTGATTGGCAATGGTAGGCTGGGTCTGAAGAAGAAGGCTATTGCATTCCTTCAGGGCTCTAGAGTGAACCCTGAGAATGCAAAGGTCTTTTTTAGTACTCAGGGCTCACGAGCCCCCATCAGTGTGAGTCCTCCTATGATTATCAGTTGATAACAGTTCTCTATATTTAGTGTTTAGAAACTGGTGTTTATGAAGGCAATGGTGTCAAACTCAAATAGAAATAGGAGCTATTCAACCATACATGAGAATCACTTTGAGCTGCATATTCACTTAGAAAACTACATATTAACATTATTTCTTTTCTATTGTGTTTTTATTTATTTTAGTAATTATTTTCCAATTATATTTTAATCTGGTTTGGGTGGCACTTGGGAGTGTTGGGGGCCTGTTTGACACCTCTGAATTAAGCTATCTGGACCTAGCATCTTAACACTTTAAATAAGGTTAACTGACTGACTGACTAACCTACTCTTACACAGAAAAGGGGCTAATCCTGCCTTGGTAGAGGGGTTGTTTCACCTAGGAGTTCCCTATTTCAATGACATCATTGGTCTAATCCATGTTCCCATAGTTTAGATTCATTTATTATTTATATTCTTTTATCTTTATATTCATTTATCTGTGTTCACACTGTTCCCCTCATTTAGATTATTAGCTCCTTGAAGGCAAAGATTATTTTGTTTTGTTTTGTTTTATATCCCCAGCACCTAGCACAGTTAACTGGCACATAGTAGGTACCCACTAGCACCAGCTGAATTGTAGTGAATGACCACTGTGTGAGAGGTCCTTGGACTCAGTCCATTTTGTCTCTACTGTTTCCAAATATTTCTAGTAACAATAGCTAGCATTTATACAGTGTCTACTATGTGCCAGGCACTGTGCTAAGGGTTTTAAAAATACTATCTCATTTGATTCTCACAACAGCCTTATGGTGGTAGGAGCATTTTACAGATGAGGAAGCTGAGGCAAACAAGTGCTTGCCCAGGGTCTGATTTGAACTCAGATCTTCCTGATTCTAAGCCCAGCACTCTACCCACTGCACCACCTAGAGTTCAAATCTATGGCCTTTGACTCAGAAGAACTGGGTTCAAACCTAGACTCTTTCACTTACTCCTATGTGACCCTAAGCCAAGTCATTTCATCTCTCTGAGCCCCAGTTTCCTGATCTGTGAAACCAGGGGGGCTGAAGGGGAACAAGAAAACCTGGAATGGCCCTTCTAGCCCCAGATCTGTGATCCTACAACCCACAGCTAGGGTTCTCTGGGAAGGGCTGCAATCTATAGCCAATCTTCTTAAAAGCCCAAACAAGTGAGTAATGCAAGAGCATCCTCGGATGCCATCTGACCAGAAACTCCCTGTTTATCTCTTTGATCCTGCTCCCACAAGGGCAGGGAGGCGCCCTCTCATTTTAGCAGGTCCTGTGCAGACCATCTTGTTTTATTTGGGGAGAAGCCAGAAAGCTCTATTTTAAAACCCCTGAAGGAACAAGGGAGGTAGCTTCTGAGCTTTCCCCGAAGAATCACAACCACACATAGCCCCTATGTAATGAATGAAGGTAAATCATTTCTCTCTTCCTGGCCTTCCCTTTCCCCTTCCAAGAATGCCAGGCAAAGCAGCCCCTGTCTCCACCTCTGAGCTCCTTTATACATTCTCTCTACAATCTGGGTTCTCCCACTTTCTCCTCTATCCTCATCAGCCCTCGAGTTCAGCTCAGGAGAATCTCGGTGCTTAAATGCTTTTTTCTTCGGGAAGTCTGTTTTCTCCTTTACTCCTTGAGGGAAATCTCAGCTGCTCACCCCTCAGGGAGCTGGCAAAATGCTGAAAGCTCAGGAATGCCTGCAAATATGCGCTTATTGATGAAGTCCCAGGGTGCAGATCTGAAAACCTCCTCTTCGGGAGGAAACTAGCACATACACACACTGTCCACATCCTCCTCTTCCCTGGGCTAAAAACAGGCAAGAGACAACCTGAGCAGAGGTCAGTCTCTTCTTGTTTTCATCCCCTTGGCTAGCAGTTACCAAAGGGTTATGAGGAATATCTGCTCCCACATCACTGGGAAGTATCACTCCTAGGCAAGGAATGGGGGGAGGGGAGGGGAAGGGGGTACAGAGAGGCCCTCTGAGAGTGGGAAGGTGCTGATTAAGGGATTCTGGCTGCCAAGCATTGGACAGGCAGGGGTCGGCGGTGGACTGCCGCCAGCTCCCTTCACCCACCCTCCCTGCTGTCGATGCCCTTTGTCCCTACCGCAGAGGCTACTTTTGAGATGTCCCTCCAGGAAGCTGGACAATTAGGCTTACCGCTCAATGTGCTGGTTCAAGATGATGAGTCAGCATTTTCCACCACCACCTCCCACTCCCCTTTTTGGCTTCTGGCAGCAAATCCGCCTACCCCTCAACATAGCTCCCCCTCAAGCCGCCTCTCCCAAGCTAAAGCGCCCCCCCCCCACTCTCCACTCTGAGAGCACTGCAGGGGACCCCAGGAACTGGACCACCCAGGGAAGGGAAAGGAAGGCCAGAGAGGGGGACAGTGCTCAGACCCAGAGTCACATCGTCGGGGCTGCACGCGAAAGCCTGGGCTCGGCCCGGGGTCCCTGAAGGGCACTGGCCAGGTCAATACATCCCGAAGTATCGAGAGCCTTGTGCCGGCCAAGGCTAGCTCTGGTGACCAAAGGCTGCAGCCCCGAGAGTGAGAATCGGCCATGTGCCGGGTTTGGCCCTCGCTGGAAGAGAGGGTTTAAAGATAGCTACATAGTAGCAAAGTCCGCGGGATTTGAACTTGTCACCTTTGGGTCCAGGGCACCGCAGCCCAGCGAGAACCCCTTTCGGACCCACCAATCCCTTCCTCCAATCATATCCCGCCCCGGTCCCGCTCCAACCAATCATAGGGCGACGCTGGAGTTCGGCTGTGGGCGGAGCCAGTCCCCAGAGAGCGACAGAGCCAGCGCCCAATAGGAAGCCAGATAACGAGAGTCCGCCCACCGTGCTATCCAATGGCCGAGAGGCGGCGACGGCTACGGTCCCCGAGGCTACAGCTGCTGGTGCCGGTGGCCGCGGGCTGCAGACCCCGGCACTGGCGGGGGGGGGGGGGGGGGGACGGCGTGGGCTCGCCACGGGCCCCCTTCCCGCACGCCCGCCCCGTGCCGCCCCCTCCCCTTGCTCGGCAGCCCGACCCGCCGTGGGCCTCACCTGCTGGAAGCGAGGCTTGCCCAGCTGGAAAGGAGGAGTCTCCGCCGAGGCGGTTTCCGCCGCTGCTGCCGCCGCCGCAGTCTCCGCCATGGCCACCGATGCCCGCAATCCCCGGCCCTTTTAAAATGTCCCTCCTCGGCCCCCGCCTCAGCTGCCTCTCCCCATTGGCTGCGGCCAACCGCAGCGTCAGGGCGGCGCAGGGGATTGTGGGCAAGGTAGTTTTTCTTCCCTGCGCCCCTTCCTGCGCTCCTGGGAAGAGACCATAGAGTGGGGAGCCAAGAGAGGCCAGAGCGTCTCCCACAGAACATAGGGCTGGGACTTTGCGCCAGCGGCCATCTTGGTATGGGTGGCCAAGTGTGGTTATTAACACTTTGGCAGGGTGTGCCCGATGACTCAGACAGATTGCTACAAGATTAGATTTTATGCGTGCAAAAGTAAAGACCAGTCCATCAACTCCTTCAATAGGCCCCAAAACTTTGATTTTCTCTTATGACCTCCTTTAAGGTCAATGCCATCCCCGGCCATTGCCACTAACACTTAATGGGGCTAATTCTCAGGCTAGGGTGGGTATGAGAGTGAGGGGTGTGTCAGGCCAACAAACACTTATCAAGCACTTACTATGCGGCCAAAACCTCCCTGTACTCTAGGAGCTCCCGGCCCGGGAGGCAGCTTTCCTTGAAAGGGAGCTGAAGCTGTTCCTAGGACTTAGCGCTGGGGACAGCTGGTCAGCCTCTAGACCAAGGGTTCTTAACTGGTGAATAGTCAGCTGAGATTGGAGTCAGAAAGACCCCAGTTCAAATCCTGCCTCAGATACTTCCTGTGTGACCTCAGGCAAGTTAATTAGGTTTGCCTCAGTTTCCTCAACTGTAAAATGGAGGATTAACATCGACTTCCCAGAACTGTTGTGAGATCACGTGAGATAACATGTATAAAGAGTTTGGTTCAGTGCTGGGCAGTGTGGTAGGTGCTAACTGCTAGCTATGATAATGATGATGAACTTTGGGGAAAAATGTAACTTCATCTTTATTAACCTTTGGCTTCCTTTGTAATCCTACGTATTTTATAAACTTAAAGAAAAATTTTGAGGAGTCGATGACAAAAACAAAGTTTAAGAATCTCTGGTCCAGACTGAATCCTGGGGCACTCCTTTGCTAATGGGAGTTCCAGAAAACATGGCCCTGTGACTCTCCTGTTTCTGTAAGCCCCTTGGGCCTAGTACAGTGGCTGAAACATGGCGAGTACTCAAGTTCTTCCCGAATTGAGTGGTGTTGGACCTAACAAGCGGAAGAGCAGAGGTGCACTCCCAGCTCTGCTGTGTTACTTGTGTGACCTTGAGCTAACACAACCTCTCTGGGCCCAATCCTCATGTGAAAAGTTAGGAAAAGGGGTCTGACTGGGGGGTCTCTGAATCTATGTATGATCCTGCTGGCGTGTGGAAGGTCTGGGATGTCATGGACTCATCAGTACAAAGACAGTAGAGACTGGACCCTGCCTGTAACTTAGTAAATGGACCAACTGACCCTGAAAAGTTACCCTGAGGATCAGCCAGCATCAAAGACAGCAATGAACCCCAGGCTTCCCGACACCAATACGCCATGCTCTACACTAGAGACTGTAACCCAGTAGAGGCAGCAGGGGGCACCATATCGTACAGAGTGCCAGGCCAGAGTCAGTAAGACCCAAGGACAAATCCAATCTCAGACACTTGCTAGGTGGGTTAGTCTGGAAAAGTCACTTACCTTTTGTGTGCCTCAGTTTCCTCATCTGTAAAATAGAGGTCATAATAGCACCTCCCTCCCAGAGTTGTTGTGAGGATCAAATGAGGTCATTTTAAAGTGCTTAGCATGGTGCCTGGCACATAATGCTATATAAATGTTAGCTATTATTTACTATTAATCCATTGATAACAGCATCTACATAATGCAAACAAAAAATGAAGACAGGTGGATTGGTTGACAGGGGCCTCATTCAAGTTTGCTTAAAATCAGACACTAGGCTATGAGTCCTATACTCAGGGACAAATCATAAAGGGAATCCTATGGTGTCGGCCACGACATTGGTTGGATGAAACCAACCAATGGGGGTAGTGTGGTCTGATGGTCTGGGTTCCTATCCTGCTTCCCCTACTCACTAGGTGGGTGATTCTAAGCAAACTTCTTACCTCTCGCCCACCAGCCCCCAAAGGGCCTCAGTCTCCTCGTGTGTAAAAGAGGGCTAACCACCTTTGTGACCCCTGCGCTTTGCGTGGTTGGTGCAAGGAAAGCTGGTGTGACCCCTCAAGCCGTCATCCCTTCCTGACCAGCCCCCAGAGGCAGCGTAGGCTGCTTGCTTTTCTCCCCCATGACCTGTTTGAGCCACCCCACCCTCAACCCAGTAACTGGACAGAGCCTCCCATCGTAGATGAATCCAATTTTTATTCTTTGTAAAGTGCTTAAAACACAAAGAACAAGCTCTTTAGAAACATGAACTGCAGCAAGGAAGACAAACAGTGAAGCAAAAGGATGTCCACCCTCTGCTGGAGCCTCCAACTAGGGCCAGGGGCAAAAAGACAACACAGAACAACTTGGGCTTCGATGCAAAAACTTGTGGCTTGGCTGTAGACTCCAGCCCCCTCCCAAAGCCCAGCCAGGCTGGGGTCCTTGTCTCCTTGGCTGTGCCCCAAGAAGGGGCATTCCCTCCCCCTCCAGACCCTGGGGAAGGGAGAGGATCAGGACTGTGAATGACTCAAAGGGGGTTTTCAAGACAGGCTACTGAGGAGAGGGGAGGGCATTGCTTTCCATCTCCAGGGACTCCTCCCGACATCAAGACAGCCCCCCAAAATCCCATACATATACGAATGCACACGTGCGCGCGCACATACATACATACATACACATACACACACACACACACACACTCTCTCTCTCTCTCTCTCGGGTTTCTCCTCTCTCCAATGACACAGCCCTCCAGAGGCCGAGTCAAAACCTATCACCAGCGGCCTTCCTCACCCACCTCAGCCTGCCATCCCAGAAAGGGCCCCAGGCTCCCACCTATCACAGCTGCCCTGATGCACCTGTCCAGAGGGTCAGATCCAAGGTGGAAGGAGGGCAGATGGCTGAGATCAGGCCCCAGGGGCTGCCCGGCCAAGGGGGACCAGTTGGGGAACATGGGACACAGGACGAATGCTTACTTGTTAAAGTGCAACAGCCCAGTTAACTAAGGCAGCTGGGTGGAGAGGGCGAGAATAGCAGCTTGGCTGGTGGGCAGTAGGGGGGAGGGGGAGAGGGAGGAGTGGCTGAGAACTTTCCTCCCCCAAGTGCAGCATCCCAGTGCCTCCAATGAGACAATGTAGCCAGGAGAGGGGGAGGAAGGCAGGGGCAGGCCAGCAGGAACTGGGGAGGGGAGAGAAGAGGGGGCACCCGCAAGGGCACTGAGCTGCTTGTTAATTCATCGAGTGAAATGGGAAAGGGGGGATGGTATCAAACATCATCACCCCTGCCCCAATTCTGGTTTCCTGGGCTTGAGAACTCATTCATGGAGCTGGCCAGCCATCCACCGGCTGCCCCTCCCATTTTCTCACACTCGGCTCAAGGCTGGGGAGGTGAGCCAGAGGTGCCCAGAGCCATGCAGGCAGATGGCCAGGCCAGGGCAGGGGTGCAGGAGCCTCTACCCCTTCTTCTCTTCAGCAGGGAGGAGTGGGGTGCCAGGTGGAGAAAGCCCATCATGGAAAGGGAGGCGGGGGCAGGTGGACCTCGGTCCAGACCCCTGCCTGGGCCCCTCCCCACAAGGCACATTTTACATTTTAATGATTTTTTTCTAAGCCCTTCCGGGCTGCAGAGTTTTGGCATCTGAACGGGTAAGCAGAGAACAGAGAAGCTTTTAAACATTAAAACCCAAACAGATCCCAGAAGAACCCCAAAGACAGGAAGCCTGGGATCAGATAAAGACCTAGGGGTGGGGGGCGGATTATTCTTTCGGAGAAACAACAGAACGCAAATCCCTCCCTGAATAAAATGAACCAAAGACTCAGAGCACACCCCTTGGCCTCTCCCCAAACTGAACCGCAGGCCCTCACACTCACGCTCACTCTCACACGCGCACACACACACACACACACAGACACACACACACACAGTGGGGACAGGGCAGCGCAGCAGAGTGCTGACGGATGAGCCGGCTAGCTGTCAGGCTCACATTTTGGCAGATTGCTTCCCAAGAGGTAACACTGGCAGTAACATCAGGGCAGGGGAGTGGGAGAAGCTAGCTCCAGCTGGGGGTGGGGGAGGAGGAACACCTGGGTTCAGACAGGGATAGGGAGTATCACTGCCTCCCAGGCAGCAACCCCCCTTACCTCCCCTGTGTTGTCCTTGGAAGACTCTACAGCCCACTCTGGCCCCCAAGCTCCAGCGGGCCCCAAGTTGAATGGGCCAGAGCAGAGCCGGCCTCTTCTAGTCCCAGATCTGTCCCTGGTAGCAGGGAGAGCCCTGAGGGGAGCAGAAATAGCTTTCCTTTGGGGCCCTGGTTCCTCCCCTGCCAGGAAGGGCCCAGATTGCTCTCCTACAAGGCCCTAAAATTCCACCATCAACTCTTGGCTGGGAAGACCTGCCAGCCTACAGGGGTGGGTGTGTGTGTGTGTGTGTGTGTGTTTGTGTGTGTGTGTCCATGTATGTGTGTGTGTGTGTGTGTGTGTGTGTGTGTGTGTGTGTGAACTAGGGAAGGGGGTTACTTGGGGGCCCGGGGCCCTGGCGGGATCTGCAGCAGCGTTGGAGATGTCTCCATGATGCGCACCAGCAGCTGGTCAATGTAGCTCTCCAGCTCATGCACGTGCTCATCGCGGCGGCTTAGCTCCCGCTCCCGTTGCAGGAGCAGGGCGATCAACTCGTCGTGGGTCAGGTGGTAGTACTTGGCTGACTGGTCCGGCTGCGAGGGGTCCTGATGGCGAGCAGAGCCGAGGGCTGAAGGAGGGAGCCCAGGCCCTTCCCCCGCCCTCCTCCCTGAGGGCACTGAGTGGGCAGACAAGGAATGGTCCCTGGCCTCAGAGGGCTTCTGTTCTGAGGGGACCCACCCCAGGGGCAGCATGGAGCTGCAGCAGGGAGAGAGCACAAATGGGGCGGGCAGGCGCTGTGCACTGTACATGCCACACAAACACCACAGCCGTCATCAGACCCGAGGGCCTCTGGGCTCTGAGAACGAGGACGGGGGACCAACGGGGAAGACGGGTCCAGGCTCCGTGCCTGAGACACCACCACTGGCCCACGAGCTCCCAGCCAGGCACAGTCAGGGTGGAATTGGGGCCCAACTGCCCCCAGGAGATTCCCTGCCAGCCTGCCCGCCGCTCACCTTCAGCTTCACCTTGGACTCCACTGTCTGCTCAGCCTGGGGGGCCACAGGTGGAATGCTGCCTGAAGTGACCGTCTTGAGTTTCTCCAACCCACTGGTCAGGGCTGAGCTCAGGCCAGACCGAGGCGGCTTCTTGTCCACAGACCCCTCTGGGGGCGCCGAGCTGAGAGGCTTCACGGGGTGGGGGCTGGGGAGACAAGGGGAGCCTTGATGGGATGATTTCAGAGGCTCTCTGATCCCCTGCATACCTGAACCAGCACCCTCATTGTAACATTCAGCCCCCGCCCGAAGCCGCCCCAGATGGCCCCTTCTTAGCCCAGAGCGGCTCCTTGCCTCCTGCATCTGCCTTCTGGGGCCAAACACTCCCCACAGGACAGGGCTTCAGATTCCTCAGACAGACGGTCCCGTCCCCGGAGCCTTCTCTGCTCCACACTAGACACACCCAGGGCCCCCTGCCCATCCTCATAAGGCCCTTCAGACCCCTGGGAGCCCTGCTCGGGACACTCCCCTTCCTCTATCTGTGGCAGCAGGAGGCAGTCATCTTTTAAAACAGTCCTGAGATAATTCGAGCACCTTTTGGAAACTCAATCACCGAATCTCAGAACAGACCTCAGGGGCATTTAACTATGTGTTTAAAACAACAATTAAGTTAAATCCAACAAACATTTACCAAGAACCTACAATTGTGTGCAGACTCCCTGGAACAAGAGACAGCTCTGATAGGCTCTCATTATGTGACAGCAGTGGTCATGGGTGTGTGCTTCTACTGACACCAGGCTGGCTTAGAACTTCCGACCTTGACCACTTGAAGCCAGACTGAGCTGATCTCCCGCCACCTTTCATTAGTGCTCTGTGAGTTAAGTTTTGGATTTTGTACCATGCACATGATTCACTACTTCATTTTTAATTGTGTGGTTCTTAAGAATAGATATTATTCTAGGGATAAATGCAAAAGTTGCAGATTTTAAAGAGCATACTTCAATGACTACTAGAGATATTGCACTGGCTGTTGGTGTGGGAAACGCAAGCATTTCAAGGATCATCAAAGCCCTCCATGAGGCAGGACTGGGTGCACCTAGACCCAAAAGAAAACGTGGTTCAGGGCAGCTAGGTGATGCAGTGGCACTGCATCACATGGCCAGACCACTGGCCCTGGAGTCAGGAGGATCTGAGTTCAAATCTGGCTCAAATACATAACACTCCCTAGCTGTGTGACTCTGGGCAAGTCTCTTAACCCCAATTGCCTCACATAAAAAAAAAAAATTCACAGAGTCATTTAAATGGCAAACCACTCCAGTATCTTTGCCAAGAAGACCCTAAATGGGGTCACAAAGAGTTGGACATGAATGGAATTATTGAACAACAACCTCTAACACCAGATTCAGGTCTCTTTTTTTAATTTTTAATTTATGCAATAAAACAAGCATTTCCATAATGTAGCATAATAAAAAGATGATTGCCTTGAAACTGCTGATCTATTATGCATAACTTGCTATTGCTTTTAAATATATAATAAAATTATCATGTAAAAAAAGAAAAGAAAGAAAACGCGGTTCCAAATGAAAAAACAAACTATTGTTCTCAAATGAACTAATCCTCAGAAAACCAGCAAAGAAGGACCTGACAGCTGGAAGACATGTTACTAATTCTATTAGGGTCCATGACACAGGCTTTTAAAACCAACACAACAGTGAGAAAACCAGTTTGGAGAACAAGTTGCTAACTGTTGCTATGAAGAAAAAACACTTGTCATGGGCTCAAGTACATAAAGGCTCAAATACTAATGACTGGAAAAGGTAATTTTTACTGATGAACCTCACTTTTTCATTCAAAATTCTATACCAAAACAATAGTCCAATAGAAGCCCAAGTGAGCTTCTAAAATCTAGGTAAGTTCATTAAACTGTAAGACATCCACCCCACTTCCAGGAAAAAAATGGTTTTGGGGAGGCTTTTTGGTTTTTTGCTCCCAGTGGGCCCACGTGGTTTGGTGATGAAAAATTAAGGAATATGGATTAAACTCTTATGAACTCAATGCCAAATCTTGGGTTTTTTTTTAGTTATTGCAAAGGAGATACAATGCATAATAAAAAAAAATTTAAAGATGTAAAAAGTTGCAAGTTTTACTATAAAAGTCAATTACTTTGTAACAAGTACATGCTACATTCCCTTTCGGACTCTGCGTCACCCTGGTCCACAGCCTCATCACAAAGTTGGCCTGCCTCCAAGCCTCTCCCCACTCAGGCACCAGGTCCAGTCATGTGGCTTCCTGTGGCTCCAGGATCAAACACAAAATGCTGTTTTGTATTCAAGGCCCTTCATCACCTACCCCACTGCCATGCACCTTTCCAGGATTCTTATCCCCTGCCTATACCATCCCACTCCAAAGAAACTCCCATCTCCTAGCTGAGCGTTTTCACTGGCTGTCCCTCCTCGTCTCTTCTTCCTGGCTTCCTTCAAGTCCCGGCTAAAATTCCACCAAGAAGCCCTTCCCAACCCCTCTTAATGCTAGGGTATTCCCTCTGATTATCCCCACTTCATCCTGTACATATCCTGTCTTACACGACTGTTTGCATGTTACCTCCCCCTCAAGACTGCAAATTCCTTGAGCGTCGGGACTTTAGCCTTTCTTTGTGTCCTAAGTACTTAGCACAGTGCCCAGCAAATGTTGTTTAGTAGGTATTTTAGTTGTGTCGGACTCTTCAGTACCCTATTTTGGGGTTTTCTTGGCAAAGATTCAGGAATAGTTTGCCATTTCCTTTACAACTCATTTTACAGATGAGGAAACTGAGGCAAACAGAGTTAAGTGACCTTGCCCAGGGTCCCACAGCTAGGAAGTATCTGAGGCCAGATTAGAACTCAGGAAGATGAGTCGTCCTGACTCCAGGCCAGGTGCTCTATCCACCCTGCCAAAAATAGTAGGCAATTAATAATGGCTAGTTGCCTAACAAATCTATTCCAGAGAGGCAGCATTGTATGCTGGATAGAGAGCAAGACTGAAGAGTCAGAAAGCCCGGGGCAGCTAGGTGGCCCAGTGGATAGAGCTATGGCCCTGGAGTCAGGAGGATCCGAGTTCAAATCCGGCCTCAGACACTTGACACTTACTTGCTGTGTGACCCTGGGCAAGTCAATTACCTCTGTTTGAGGGAGATTCCAGTATCTCTGCCAAGAAAACCCCAAATGGAATCACAGAGTCAGACATGACCCAACAACAACAACAAAAGGGCCCTTCCTGGGCTGAAGGCCCAGGAGAAAGCACCAGGGCAGGCTGAGGCCAGGAGCATGAGCTGGGCAGTGACAGGCCCAGGGACACAGGTAACTAACGCCAGGACTCAGAACGTCTAATGAAACTCTGCAGGCCTGGTTGCTACAGCCACTCCCAGCGCAGCCACAGGCCCACACCCTGCCCTCCCTCCTCTGCAGGATGGGGACATGACACCTGCCCTGGTTAGCCCGCAGGGTGGGTATGAATCAGGTGATATGCCCGGCACCTCCTCCAATCCAGACAGAGACCAAAGGGCCCCTGCCCTCAAGGTGCCTACGTTATCTTACATGGGGGGGGGGGACAAGATGGCCACAGATGGTCCGCAGAAAACAGAGGAGGAAGAAATGCAGGGTGATCTCAGTCACCAACAGCTGGAGGAACATTCCGGAGGGGGAGGTCCCATTGTAGAGATGAGGAAATGGAGGCGTGGGCAGCTTGGCCAAGGCCGCAGCTGATACATGTGAGAGAGGAGAGGCCAACTGGGTGTGTCCAGACTCCACAGCCAGGGCTCTTCCCACTAAACCACCCTGCCTGCCTAAGATGTACTGAAACCAGAGGGCCTCCTTCTGACCTGTGGCTGAGGCTCAAACACACACACATACACACACACACACACACACACACACACGCACACACACACACACGCACGCACATGCACAAGTTCTTCAGGCACTCATAAGTACATGAGAAAATGATTCCATTTTAATTTCACTGAGAAAATTGGTGACAGTATTACTTGTCCAAAAACAAGGCCGAAGACAGTGACGGTGTTCTGAATCCACACACTCTCCTGTCGATTTTCAAGGCCTCATGACCCAGTGGAGAGAGCCCACCTCAAAGTCAGGAAGACTTAGGTTCAAGCCTTACCTCTGCTAAACTGTGGCTGCATAATTCCCAGAAGTAGGCTCTCTGGGGCATGGCAGGAAACACCTTTAAGGCTAATCTGGATTATTAACATTTTATCTTTCATTATCTTAAGTCTAAACAATCAACAAAACAATAAAGCTCTGATCTGTAGCATTTGCAGATTTCCAATTTCTGACTGTAAATGCTCCCACTGAAAATTTAACAATTTGTTCCCTGGAGCCAGTTTGAGCTGGCTCCAGCACAGCCCTATGTACATATAACCCCGGGCAAATCACTTCACCCTGTTTGCCTCGGTTTCCTCATCTGTAAAATGAGCTGGAGAAGGAAAGAGCCACTTTGTCAAGAAAACTCCAAATGGGGTCACGGAGAGTCGGACACAACTGAAATGACTGAACAACAATTGAGCTGAGGCAGAGTATCCTAATGGATAGAGAGCTGGCCTTGGGCCCAGGAAGATCGGAGCTGAGTCCCACTTCAGCTGCATCTCAGTGCTCCAGGAACCTCTGAAGGCCTCTGACCTGCACGGAGGGAAGGAGGCGGCTCCTCACTAGGAGGGCCAATGAAATCACAGCTCGTGGCCCTGTCCTTCCCAGACTAGGAGGGCCAGTGAATGCTGCCAATATGGCCTCCCTAGATTTGAGGCTCCTGTTCTCAAACGATGTGAACTCAGCTATAAAAGCTGGCTCTGGGGCTCGCCAGGAGACTCAAGACACAAGGGAAATGTAAGTAACTCTTTAAAACTCCTCAGCACCAGCCATCTACCACAGGCTTTCAGTCTGGTGGAAAACCTGCTAGGATGTGGCCAGTAGAGTGGAATCAGGATGGGCTGAATGACCGAGTCTAAGAAGCCGTCAGCTGTTAACGGTCCGACGGCAGCTTGGCAGGAAATCTCCACCAGAGCTTCTGGGGCTCTGCGCTTGGTCCTGGGCTGCTGAAGAATTTTATCAGACAACAAAGGCCTATAGATGGCAAGCTGATTTAATCTGCAGATGACATCAAAACTAAATCTGCCCCAATCCAAAAAGCTCCCCCACACAGACCACAACACTGGGCTGA